TGATAAGAGTTTTACAGAATTGTTGTCGTTGTTGATAGAAATGCTGCCAGATGGAAATACGTGGAAGCAAATGCACTATAATGATCAAGGTTTTTACAACAAGGCTTTTATAGCGACATCCATGTCAAAAATATAAAACACCTCTCTAGTAGCCCTCTAATCAAAATATAGGCATATAGAAACAAAGAACATGAGCAAGATATCCCCTCTCCTGCAGTCTTTAACACTTTGAACAATCCTCAAAGTCTAGAACATCGCACGTTCTCTTCCTGTAATCACAACAGGGCAAACTCCAATCTTCACAAGATTGATATAAACTAATCACGAAATAGACACCTCAAGTGCAGATTGATCAGACAATAAGAGCACACAGATTCTTACTCGTCAAGCATTCATCAAAGATGAACACCACAGTCTTCTTGATGAATTCTTGGAGCTTTCACACTTTCTGCAAGAGATCTATAATCTGAAAGAAATCAATCAAATCGTTAGAATCACAAAAGTTCTTGCAGGAATCAAATTCGCGTCAATTTATAGCAATTCGCAAATCTAACACATTTTAATCGACTTTGCTACTAATTCAATCGAATATAACAAAACAGTTATAACAATTAACAACAATTAATGCAGTTAATTGAATGGACAATTAATGCAGTCGAATCACAATAAATGTTTGGTCAACATATTCAAAAATATAGCCGTTGTAACATTTTAACTCAAGCATTAACAAAATTTCGAAACTGTAACAGACTTAGTCAAATGCAGGTTGCATGTAATCGACTATTCAACACAGTTAAACAAAGTTTTGAAAAACTTTCTCTTCAAAAATTCTCACAGCACACTTTGAAAAGGTTTGTGCAAAGCCACGAGTTTTAATCGACTTCATAATGAAGTCGACGTAAAACTATTGTTTTGCCACATATTATAAGTTCAACAAAAGTGCATGTGATTTTCCTTTTCTCAAATATATGTCATGCATTCATAGATAAAATCTCATGTAAAACACAATGAATTGCAGCAATGACATAATCAACTCAAACATGTTCTCAAATAATCATAAACATGAATGTTATGAACATGTAACACATAAACATATGTGTTATTAATAATGTGTAGTCATCGTAAAAAACTAGAAGTTTTGAGATTGTAAGGTTTAGCTAAACCAGTGCTCTCCCTATCAACAATCTCAATAATGATGTTAAGGCTAGGAAATGTGGGAGGTTCTTGACTGCCAAGGATGAATTTTTCAGGATTTTCCAATGCAAGACTGCCAAGGAAATGTGGGAGGTTCTTGAGGTGACGCATGAAGGCACAGACGAAGTGAAACGGGCTAGGAAAAACTCCCTTGTACAAGAGTATGAATTATTCAGGATGAAAGCTGGTGAGACAGTTTATGAAGTACAAAAAGATTTACACATATAGTAAATCATCTCATGGATCTCGACAAAGTGTTTGATAAAGAGGAGATCAGCATAAAGATTCTGAAAAGTCTCAACAGGACTTGGCAGCCGAAAGTCACAGCCATATTAGAGTCAAGATACTTAACAAGCATGAATATGGAAACTTTACTTGGAAAACTCAGGGAACAGTAACTGGAGCTTGGAAGGCTAAAAGAGCAAGAAGAAATTGAGGAAAAGAAGTCAATTGCCCTCAAGGCCACAGGCAAGAAAGCTGTAAAGAGTCTTGAACCAGAAACTGATTCAGAAGCAGACATGAATGACAAAGAAATCTTGAACATGGTGGTAAGAAAGTTTAATCTATTTATGAAAAATAGAAGTTCTACCACTGACAATGCAGGTCCTGCTAAAGGAAGGAAGAATTCAAGAAACAATGTTGTTCAATGCTACGAGTGTGGAAAGGAAGGACATATCAAGCCTGAATGTCCAGACTTGAAGTTCAAATAGAAAGAAATCACCAAGTATCCTTAGGACAAAAACAGAAAGCAAAGGAAAGCATACATTGCTTGGGAAAATAGTGATGGAGACTCTTCAAGTGGTGATGATTGTAGCGTTGAAGAGGAGTCAAATTTATGTTTCATGGCAGGCTTTGGACACTCTGAGGATGACAGTGATAGTGATTTCGAGAATGAACCAATAGAGGTTATTTACTACATGTTGTTGGATGCATTTCAAGAAATACATGCAGAGGCCATACGACTCTAATACAACGTGAATCGATTATCTTCCGAAAGGAGAGACTATGAATATATAATTGATAATCTGGTAAAGGATAATGAAAAGCTTAAAAATGAATTACAAGCTGCATTACAATCTGCTAAAGCGAATGTTAAATTTGAAATAAAGGTTGTTGAAAAGAATTGTGATAACTATCTAGTACACCTTGAGAAAATTGATTACTTAACCAGCACATTAGCTAAATTTACACAAGGTAAAGAAAATTTAGATGTTGTGTTAAGATCATCTGGAAGGGTAATCAATAGGCAAGGTATTGGCTACAAAGCAAAGAGTAATAGGATTAATTCAAAGAAGTTTATTGATCTTAGTAAGCCTATTACTAATGCTTGTTTTTACTACAACAACATTGGTCACAATGTTAGAAACTGCTATTACAGAAATGTTGGAGTTCCAAAGGGAAAATTCAAATGGATTCCTAAGGAATTACCTCCTGCAACTGACAAGATAGGACCCAAGTTCAAATGGGTACCAGTGTCAAAATCGTTTAATTGTTTTGCAGATAAATAAGTTATTGTTGAAGCAAAAACAGTGCTCAATGATGAACTACAAATGGAATAAATCACAAGTTCTTGAATCACTAAATGTGGTAACTGTAACAACTTTTTCACGCACTCATGCATCATAAGCATTTGTATGATTGATTGTTAAATGCATGTTTGTTGTATGCCTGTTTGAGTGAATGTTTTCTGTGAAAATTAAGTTGCTCGATTTTTAATCGATTCTATTAAGTGTTAAGTCGAATATGTTTTGAGTATTTGTTTATATGGTTTTGAAAATACTGTTGAAACATAAAATCGACTTTGGACTTAATGCAATCAATTACAATCTTTACTATGAGTTATCTCTGTTTGAAAATTTAAATTTTGATTAAGTCGATTAATTTAAACGTTTTGGAGCGAAAACGAACCTTTATGTTCCCTCCAAACCTAAAATTGCAGAGCAATTAATCCTAAAACAGAGAAGCTTGACAATCACTTTCTTAGCGACATTAGAATCATTCCTTTCTTGGTACTCTGTGAATTACGTTTTTCTCTGAATATAAATGGCTTCAAGTTCATCACAAAGGAAGAGAGTAAAAACCTTGGGACCAAAAACATGAGCAGACCATCGCAACTAGAAGGTTGGATTAGCAACGATGAATCTCAATCCAAATTTCTCGACTGTTGGAAGATGAGAAAGTTAACCACACATAAATTCCTGAAACTCAGCTTTTTCAGAAGTGAAGGCTTTCTGTTTCAAAACTGGTTGAAACGTCAAGGTGTGAGGAAATTTGTTGAAATGGCTGACCCTTGGTATCGTGAACTGGTGAAAGTTTTCTACTACAATCTTTGGATTAGTGAAGGAACTTTATGCTCAAGGGTCCAAGGAGTTCACATCAAACTTATAGATGACATTTGGACTAATATAGCTGGTTTAAAACTAGGAGGAGAAAGGTGTCATATGGGCATGGAAGGTTTTCATAAATTCTCTGTATATCAGGATAGCTTGAGAAATCCTGAGGAAGTCCGAGATTACTCCCATTACAAAACTGGTGGAATGAAGAAAGATGATAGACTAGCTGTTTTTGTTATTTCTTGGATATTAATGCCTATAGGAAGCAATCATGCACAAGCCACCACTGAAGACTTGTATTTGCTGAAAGCGTTCAAAGAAAACATCCAGGTGAACTGGCCTATAGCTGTATCGGACAATATGTTGAAGGTAACCAGACTCGAATCAACAACGTTGCCTTATTGTGTATTCATCTCTAAGGTTCTAATTCATTTAGGAGTTGACTCCATTGGTGAGTCAAGTGAGTCCTACAGCAGAACAAGTCTGATTAACAAGTTTGTTCTACATAAGATGGGCATGCAACATACTCCAAATGGTTGGTTGTTCAAGAATGAAGTTGCTGAAGAAGATGAAGAGGCAGGAGGATCTTCATCAATACAGGGCTCGGTCTGAATTTGAAAGGACTTTAGTGAGAGAAATAAAGTCTCTCAAAATTATGTGTCAAGGAACTCGAGATGATGTTACTGAAATGAAAGAGCATTTGATTTTTCAAAATTGAAATGAAGAAGAGGCAGATGAGGAAGAATCAGGTGAAGAAAGTAGTACACCTGATGAGAGTGCAACAATGGAAGAAGAAAAAAGTGAAGATGATGATGTCGCTGAAGAGAGTAACAGTGGCATGCTTCTCAAGACGTATCTGAAGAAAATTAACAAAAAGATTTTTAAAAAAATTAATGAATCTGTAGTTTCTGATTTAGTTGTTTTGTTTTGCTTTGATTGTTGTGTTTTTTCTAATAGGCTTTATATGCCAATTTTGTTTTGTTCTATCTGATTGTAAGTCATGTTTAAATATCAATGAAATCAGATTTATGGTTGGCTTTCAATATATATTTGAATGACTCCTTGTGTATATCAAGTTAATCATATCTAAATCTGTTTCACTATGATTGTATGCAAATGAAATATATCTTAATGTTACATTCATACATTTGCATACTCATATATTATCTGTGATAGTTCCTGTACTATATTAGTTCTAAAATACTTGATCTACAAAGACCATGAAAGGTTTTGTAGGAACATTAATTGCTAACAGGGATGATATGGAAAATCAACTTACAGGAAGCAAGAAGTCGATTACGACTAAGATCTAATTGATTGAATATCAACAAGGGTTAAAGATTCCAAACTTAGAACTTCTGATATCTATAAATTTTGTGTTATATGCTATTAAATGTTTATTCTTCATATATCTCTTTGCTTAACTGATATAAATATTTTGAGATGATATGAGATTAAACTGTTTTGGCTTACTGAAAATGTATCTGTTTTGATCTGATATAACTGTTACATATCTACTTTGATACATTACTTGGAATATCGTTTACATGCTTTGATATATAATCTGATTACTGCATTGTGCATTTGTGTTTTGAGATTGAAACATGCATAATGACGGGGGGGAGGGGGGTGGAGCATTGCATATCATTCATCTATTTCACATGTATTCATTTAAGGGGGGAAAAAATCCTAAATCATGTGAATAACATTGTCAAGGGAAGAAGCATCATAATTTGTTTTTGATATATCTGATACATCTCTATGTGACTGATTATTTGTGTATCAATTATTGTATGCTTACCTTTTTTGCTAATGCCCAAAGGGGGAGAATTGTGATGATTGATGACTGGTAATTGATTGATAATTGGGGTATTGATTTGTGCAACATGGTTGATTATTAATCATGGTTGTGCATCATCAAAAAAGGGGGAGATTGTTGAGATTGTTGATAGGGGAAGCAAAGGTTCAACTTAACCTACAATCTCAGTGATATCTGTGTTTTTGATGATGACAACACATAATTAATAATACATGTGTATTCTGTATTACATGTTCTATATTTACATGTTATATGCTTTTAATGAATTTGTTAAATCTGTTTAAGCATATATGAGAGCATGATTGTGTTGTTCATTGCATATCA